TTACGCATTACCCAATGTTGAACGAGCAGCACGTGCACAGTTTCTATTTGGCTAAAAAAGTAAATGCGTATACTTTATTTTATGATGAAACTCTTGCAGTTAAAAAAAATAATACCGAATGTTGTAGAGTATTTTAACAATTGCAAAGTGTATCTATGTTAATTTACTTACAAGATAAATAGCTATATTTACCATCGTAAGGCATTGCCACTATATAGATATACATGTACCACATTAAGATGGCATTCACATCAGAAATGAATGCCATGACCCGATTAATAACGTCATCATTGTCACGACGTTATAATTTTAACATGTTTAACCACTTACCTCGTTAGACAGATGGCAGTTATGTTAATTGAACAAACATAACGATAAAGAAGTGAGGAACGCTCCGGACCTCTGAAAATACATATCTGTAGTGTTTTCCAAAAATACCCTTGGTATCTTGTGTCTTTGGAAATATTCTTATTCAAGAACATTATTGATCCGTGCAAAAATAGTGTCACTTTTCGCAGATCCATTTCAAAAGGATTTCAGAAGGTTGCTTTCATTTTTGTGCAACTTTTATTTTTTTTTAAGAAAATGTCGCAGGTTAACAGTGGAGCTGATCTTCAAAAACAACCGAAATGTCAACATTTACCTTGCTTGATTGACGGACGATATTTTATAAATACTGATCCCTAGGTAGATACGTCGTGTTGTTTGTCGCATGAAGAAAATACGAACGGAACTATGCGGACAACCTAAATTGTAAAGTTTGACACAGTAGTCTCCCTTGCACCAAAGACGGCGAGGAGAAAAACAGGATAAGGGAGAGAACTCGTGATTGATAAATGCAAAATTTGTTACCACTTCCGAAAAGGTCTGTTTCCCTTGTTAAGGAAAGAGTGCAAGCAAAGCGATTTTTATGCGATCGTACACTGGGATATAGTTGGCCAATCCTTCCCCGATATAGAGGGGTCACCTTCTCAGGGTGTGTTTTAAACTTCACCCTTGTGCTCGAATATGATTTTAAAGGGAATGGAGCTAGGGGGCCGCGTGATATCACTTCAGTAAATTCTTACCCACATGTATAAAGATTATATTTATATAATACCGTACGTGCTTCATACTCATATTGTCAACTATTCCATACGACAGGTTTGATTAGAACCATACTTCAAAAAGAAAGAACACACACACACACACGCACACACACACACACACACACACACAACATATTTCATATCTGCATTACCTGTTATAGGCATTACCTGTTATAGTCATGACCTGTTATAGTCATGCCCTGCTATAGTCATGACCTGTTATAGTCATGACCTGTTATAGTCATGACCTGTTATAGTCACGACCTGTTATAGTCATGACCTGTTACATGACCTGTTATAGTCATGACCTGTTATAGTCATGACCTGTTATATGACCTGTTATAGTCATGACCTGTTATATGACCTGTTATAGTCATGACCTGTTAAATGACCTGTTATAGTCATTACCTGTCATAGTCATTACCTGTTATAGTCATGGCCTGTTACAGTCATGATCTGTTATATGACCTGTTATAGTCATTACCTGTTATAGTCATGACCTGTTATAGTCATGCCCTGCTATAGTCATGACCTGTTATAGTCATGACCTGTTATAGTCATGACCTGTTATATGACCTGTTATAGTCATGACTTGTTATAGTCATGACTTGTTACTGTCATGACCTGTTATAGTCATGACCTGTTCTGTTATAGTCATGACCTGTTATAGTCATGACCTGGTCTGTTATAGTCATGGCCTGTTATAGTCATTACCTGTTTAAGTCATAACCTGTTATAGTCATGACCTGTTATAGTCATGACCTGTTGTAGTCATGACCTGCTATATGACCTGTTATAGTCATGACCTGTTATAGTCATGACCTGTTATAGTCATGACCTGTTATAGTCATGACCTGTTATTTGACATGTTATAGTCATGACCTGTTATATGACCTGTTATATTCATGACCTGTTAAATGACCTGTTATAGTCATGACCTGTTATATTCATTACCTGTTATAGTCATGGCCTGTTACAGTCATGATCTGTTATATGACCTGTTATAGTCATGACCTGTTCTGTTATAGTCATGACCTGTTATGGTCATTACCTGTTTTAGTCATGGCCTGTTATAGTCATGACCTGTTATAGTCATGACCTGTTGTAGTCATGACCTGCTATATGACCTGTTATAGTCATGACCTGTTATTGTCATTACCTGTTATAGTCATGGCCTGTTATAGTCATGACCTGGTCTGTTATAGTCATGGCCTGTTATAGTCATTACCTGTTTGAGTCATAACCTGTTATAGTCATGACCTGTTATAGTCATGACCTTTTGTAGTCATGACCTGCTATATGACCTGTTATAGTCATGACCTGTTATAGTCATGACCTGTTATAGTCATGACCTGTTATAGTCATGACCTGTTATAGTCATGACCTGTTATAGTCATGACCTGTTATAGTCATGACCTGTTATATGACCTGTTATAGTCATGACTTGTTATAGTCATGACCTGTTATAGTCATGACCTGTTGTAGTCATGACCTGCTATATGACCTGTTATAGTCATGACTTGTTATAGTCATGACCTGTTATAGTCATGACCTGTTGTAGTCATGACCTGCTATATGACCTGTTATAGTCATGACTTGTTATAGTCATGACCTGTTATAGTCATGACCTGTTGTAGTCATGACCTGTTATAGTCATGACCTGTTATAGTCATGACCTGTTGTAGTCATGACCTGCTATATGACCTGTTATAGTCATGACCTGTTATAGTCTTGACCTGTTATAGTCATGACCTGTTATATGACCTGTTATAGTCATTACCTGTTATAGTCATGTCCTGTTGTAGTCATGATCTGTTATAGTCATGACCTGTTATAGTCATGACCTGGTCTGTTATAGTTATAGTCATGACCTGTTGTAGTCATGACCTGTTATAGTCATGACCTGTTATAGACACGACCTGTTATAGTCATGACCTGTTACATGACCTGTTATAGTCATGACCTGTTATAGACACGACCTGTTATAGTCATGACCTGTTACATGACCTGTTATAGTCATGACCTGTTATAGACACGACCTGTTATAGTCATGACCTGTTACATGACCTGTTATAGTCATGACCTGTTATAGTCTTGACTTGTTATAGTCATGACCTGTTATATGACCTGTTATAGTCATTACCTGTTATAGTCATGGCCTGTTATAGTCATGACCTGGTCTGTTATAGTTATAGTCATGACCTGTTGTAGTCATGACCTGCTATATAACCTGTTATAGTCATGACTTGTTATAGTCATGACCTGTTATAGTTATGACCTGTTGTAGTCATGACCTGCTATATGACCTGTTATAGTCATGACTTGTTATAGTCTTGCCCTGTTATAGTCATGACCTGTTATATGACCTGTTATAGTCATTACCTGTTATAGTCATGACCTGTTATAGTCATTACCTGTTATAGTCATGACCTGTTATAGTCATTACCTGTTATAGTCATGGCCTGTTATAGTCATTACCTGTTTGAGTCATGACCAGTTATAGTCATGACCTTTTGTAGTCATGACCTGCTATATGACCTGTTATAGTCATGACCTGTTATAGTCATGACCTGTTATATGACCTGTTATAGTCATGACCTGTTATAGTCATGACCTGTTGTAGTCATGACCTGCTATATGACCTGTTATAGTCATGACTTGTTATAGTCATGACCTGTTATAGTCATGGCCTGTTGTAGTCATGACCTGTTATAGTCATTACCTGTTATAGTCATGACCTGTTGTAGTCATGATCTGTTATAGTCATGACCTGTTATGGTCATTACCTATTTTAGTCATGGCCTGTTATAGTCATGACCTGTTATAGTCATGACCTGTTGTAGTCATGACCTGCTATATGACCTGTTATAGTCATGACTTGTTATAGTCATTACCTGTTATAGTCATTACCTGTTATAGTCATGACCTGTTATGGTCATTACCTGTTTTAGTCATGACCTGTTATAGTCATGACCTGTTATAGTCATGGTCTGTTATAGTCATAACCTGTTGTAGTCATGCCCTGCTATAGTCATGACCTGTTATAGTCATGACCTGTTCTGTTATAGTCATGACCTGTTATAGTCATTACCTGTTATAGTCATGACCTGTTATAGTCATGACCTGTTATATGACCTGTTATAGTCATAATCTGTTAAATGACCTGTTATAGTCATGACCTGTTATAGTCATTACCTGTTATAGTCATGGCCTGTTATTGTCATGACCTGGTCTGTTATAGTCATGACCTGTTATAGTCATTACCTGTTTAAGTCATGGCCGGTTTTTGTCATGACCTGTTATAGTCATGACCTGTTGTAGTCATGCCCTGCTATAGTCATGACCTGTTATAGTCATGACCTGCTGACTAATTTACAAATTTTAAAAAAATACGAAATTATTTATTTAGGGGCATTTTGGGGCATTTTTATAATTAGATTAATAAAATGAATTTAAACATTCTAGGTTTCCTTGAATATAGTAATACTTAACGAAATTAGAACAATTGGCTGAATAAAGATCGTATGTAATCATTCTCTAAAATTCACTTTCTTTGCTTGAAGGAAGCATTTTTTTGAAATGATTCATAAAGATCTAAGCACTAAACTATCAAACCTTTTAATGTATTCAAGTTTATAGTACCGGATTAGAGACACCATTATATTTAGCAATGATTTAATGGCACGTGGTCGTTTCCGTAAAGCTAACACCGCCTATGCTTCTACCGATAAACTTGAATATTGACATCCCCACACGGAAAGAAATCGAATTCAGTCGTCAATTGTTACGTGAACCGGTTTTTTTTAAACACCAGTTAGTACACTGCCTGGTTCAGTATACTTGTAGGTAAATTGTATATGGGGCCGCACCAGACACGTGTACAGGAGTCGTTTGAAGTATTTCATCGGGTAGCTCAACATTAAATATTGAGTCAGGACTCGGCGTGGGGCGGACAACATATTCCCGGAAGAGCCATAAATCTGCATTTCAGCTGAGCGGGTGTAGCGTGAAGGGCCGCTCCAGGATTAACGGGATTATTGATGAAGTGAATACTGGCGTACTGCGCGTGGCCCTGATTAATGGCTAGGCTTCCGGTCAACTGCGGTATTATAATAAGCACAGGTCAAATATGTACGTCGGTGTGGTGGTACGATTGAAGATATGTACTTAGGTATACTGTGAGACACAACTATGACAGTGTATGGTTTACCCCGAGAGTGTTGGACAGGTGCGAGTTCAACAGGTGGCATTGAAGATGTATGACGTTTATTTATAAGGTAAGTTCTGCTTAATTTATGTTTCATGAGTTAACTAAATCTACATATCATTGAATCATATCAAATTAACAGTAATACAAATATTATTGAATGAATAAAAAAAAAAATCTTAGATCTACATAATATTTTAAAATATAAAACAAAATCATTTAATTTGTGAGAAATATATAAGGTTTTTCGGATACTATTTTCATAGTAATTCTCAGTTCACAAAGCCATTTTAAATGGTTGAAAGAAATAGCCAATAAATGGTATGCCATAGCTAATAAGACGAATGCACGTTTTAAGTGCGTTATTGTTTACAAACATGTACGTATCACCAGGCGAACGTAGACCGATATTAAAGATAATGGAAATATATCGTTTGTGTATATTGGTGATAAGTAAAAAGAAAATATCAGAAATTTGAAATGTATAATTGTGTAATAAAATATAAAGCATACTTTTGAATTTCTTTTAATCATTTAATTGTAACATAAAACTATATTTTAATAAAATATTGAACACGTGTTTATACTTTAAATGAGTTACCTTTAGTCCCGGATAATGAAATCTAAATGTAAGTACTGTTACACCATACACTGTATCTAGGTAAACGGCTTATAGACTGTGTACCTCAGCTGAAGGCTACTCCGTGAAGGATAACCCTATTAACGTAGCGCTAATTACAAAGACTCGGCTTACACCTATATATCAGGAGTTGTACCATTTGAACTTGAACTTAAACAGATTAATTTCTGTTCATTCTGTGACCACAGGGTGATTTAACTTTGATTTTCTCTTTATTTACGTCGTGAAATTATAACACTAAAATATAGATACATGGTATCTGGAATTATGTAGTATAAAAAGTAGAATCTGTTTATATGAACTCCGTATATCAATATATACCGAGAGCAGAGAAGTTTGTCTGATATCAACCAGTGCAGGTTCGCGGACAGAATAGACTCGCTGTGCCCCACTGCACGACTAATGCCCCCCCCCCCTGCAGAATTGGGGGGGGGGGTGTAGTGTTTTCCTTGTCTCATATGAAGGGGATATTGAAGACATCAACAATAGACCTGCTGTATCCCACTGCACGTGTATCTTACAAGGCTGCTATATCCCACTGCACGTGTATCTTACAAGGCTGCTGTATCCCACTGCACGTGTATCTTACAAGGCTAATGTATCCCACTGCACGTGTATCTTACAAGGCTTAAAAGGCTGCTGCAGAATCGGGGGACTTTCTCCTTTGTCTTATTGCGAAGAGGACATCGAAGAGACCAACATTGATCTACTGCCCCAATTGCAACACTCTGTTTCAGGCGGTGCCTCCCTAAGCACCCGTGCTCATATGGCCATGACTGTTGCCTCCCTAAGCACCCGTGCTCATATATGGCCATGACTGTTGCGAGGACGTCCATAAACCCAAATCAAACTGTATGATAGCACAGTGTTACTTCCCCTAGTAATGTGGGACACCAGCCAACCCCCACCCCCTTCTCCTCTACACTTCGTTACAATGTATCACTATACCCTCTGACAGGTATGGTACGTGCAGGGTCACTTGCCATTGGTACCACTTTGCCGGATGGGATAGTACAAATGTACATTGGACATCGGGCCGACCCATTTGATTTATCATGATATTCATATGTCCATTAAAATTACTCTTGGAGGGAAGTCTTTTTCTATGTGTCTAGGTGTATAATATGATTTCCATTTGTTTTGGTGTCTCATTGGTGCAGATGTTCCAATCTTTTTCCATTAGATCAAGCCTTTTCCCTGTGTATTAGTGTTTTGAATACAGGTGAATTGAGTAACCAAAAACAACAGAAAACAGGAGGTCAACGATTGATGTGTATTTGGGGGGAAGAAAGTCTAACTATACTCTGAAGTAATTGGTGACTTGTCCTCGAAACTTGACACTCCGTGAAGTCCATTTAATTTTGACAAGTATTTGAACAGAGTGTTTGACATCCAGTACTCGGGAGAAATTGAAAGAAAACGGTTTTGAAATTGATATAAATCAAATGTACAGTTTATGTTTCAAATGAACTGGGCCTAAACACACGGTAATAGTGAGATCGGGGTCAAGTTGACGAAAAACTTGATACATTTATCACAAATGAAATGAATTGTCGATCTAGGGGGAAATGTTCGTATTAGTTCTGTAACACGTATATTACTGCTGCTAATTTATGTGGTAGGGGAATACGGTTCTTTGTTTCTCCGAGATTAATCATGGTACACGAGGACGAAGATTAATCATGGTACACGAGGACGAAGATTAATCATGGTACACGAGGACGAAGATTAATCATGGTACACGAGGACGAAGATTAATCATGGTACACGAGGACGAAGATTAATCATGGTACACGAGGACGAAGATTAATCATGGTACACGAGGACGAAGATTAATCATGGTACACGAGGACGAAGATTAATCATGGTACACGAGGACGAAGATTAATCATGGTACACGAGGACGAAGATTAATCATGGTACACGAGGACGAAGATTAATCATGGTACACGAGGACGAAGATTAATCATGGTACACGAGGACGAAGATTAATCATGGTACACGAGGACGAAGATTAATCATGGTACACGAGGACGAAGATTAATCATGGTACACGAGGACGAAGATTAATCATGGTACACGAGGACGAAGATTGAGTGAACCGTTTATGATTAGTCGAGAGGAAACGCATCCCCTTCAGTCGAACACTCAGTTTAGATAGTATGGTATATAAATATAAACACAGGCGATAGACACCGCATCCCCTTCAGTCGAACACAAATCATCAACATACGATGTAGTATGTTCTAAAAAAAGCATGCAGAAATGTGGATGTGTATGAAAAACTCTCAATTTGAAAAAGGGAATCCATGTTTATTGAGTTTCTATTTCTTGTAAATTTTCATTTTGAATTTAAAACCTAACGATTCATCAAGTCGACAATACTTTGGATAATAAGGCCCAGTTATACGTACTAATGTACGTGTATATAGAACTAATGAGTTATATATAGTGTCTTAATTCTCCTTACTAACAAATACCTGGAGGGCGAACTAAACACAATACAAATCATTGTTATCATCGATATGACTTGTTTGGTAGGATAACAAGGAAAAGTTAAATTTCTATCAGATATTTCTAGAACATGAAGTAGATACAAAACAACACTGCCATTAGTAGTATCTAGTCAGGGAAAGGGGAATGAACGCTCACGGATATTCAACAAAATATATATTGACATTTGTACACGTACATTTGTACATGTAGTATCTTAATGTAAAATGTAAAATTTGAAATTATCGTGTGAAAAATTCGCGTTGGCAATAATTCTGAAATGAAAAAAAAAATATAAAGCTAATAATCTATATAATCTATAAATACATGTTCGCTTATTGATATTTCCACGCTAATTTACTATCTAGTAGTGAGGAACAAAACACATAAATGTACTTATTGTAGTATCTAGTTGGGTTTTAGGGCGACAAGATATGTTAGTCAAATATTGACGAGGAGATATAGAAAGTAATAAATAAAACTGACAAAATAAATTAAAGTAGACTCAAACGATCGGTCCTTAGCGGCGACAATAGTCGGACCAATCTAGACAGAAATTGACTGAAAGCGGTAGATTGTATCGATTATCTATTGTTGTTCAGCTTGACCGATGGTTGAAGAATTGTTAACTTAACGTAAAACGAATCGGCGTTTTAATGTACAATTAATTACTAAGTGACACCGGATATAAAACTTCAACATGTGCTGGGATTGAGACTTTATATAGTAAGGCAACAGCATAGTGGGGTCTTCAAATTTCCATTTCTTTGAAATATTTGCTAGACATTCTGCTTATTTTTAATGGTATGTTAGGCTAACAATACTTACTATTTAAGTGTTCAGTGTATAATCGGGGCAAATGGACGGTGTAATGATATCTCTCTATCTTAATTGAAATCTCGTTGAACTATAGGCAGCCATCTTTCAGTGATTTATCGATTCATGATGATCATTATTTTGTACTGAGTTAGTAGTTCAGAGTACAGCCGACTCAAAACATTTAAGATAGTCACAAATATTTATTTTCAAAGTATATATTCAGATTAAGTTCAGCCAAACTGACCTTGGTAAAAGACGAAATTTGTTCTGTGTCATATCTTTTACTACAGCTTTAAAGATAATCTTAATTTTGTTTTTTTATTTCAATAATATTTGAATACATACTTAATCGTAAATAAAACCAGTTTCAATCGTGGGTCTACGATGATGGATGCAACGAAAACAAAGAATGGTACATGTACATACACCATAGGTTATACATCATGTATATGGGGTAGGTATTACTCATATTGCTATGCATTGGAGTATTTAGGGAATATTGAAATAAATCACAAGATATAGCGTATTCCTAGATACTGAGTAGATTTATAAGAATTGTGTAGACATGCAATAGGACATGAAAAGTGAGTACAAGTGCAGCAAGCTTCAGTGATAAAGTGAACATTATTTTCTAAAGTTTTGCAAGTTTTCATTCAAAGCAAGCTAAATCATAACTGTTCTTTCAGTTCCCAAACAATTAGTCGAAATAATATTGCAATATATTGTCATTTTAAAATGTATTGCAATATACAATTGGTTTATGTATGCATAGCTAGATAAATATTGCAATATATTGGTGTCTAAGAAAAACAATTGGTATTGAAACATCCTTTCCCTTCCCCTATATCATTTCGCCAGCTGTTTCCAGTCTCGGGTGCGCAGGAGAGATTTCGGTAACAGAAATCTGTTTCTAAGATATCTGTTATCAGTCCCATTGGTAAATGTCTCCTCTCGGAAAAAGGCTTTTAGTAGGAGTAATGGCGGTTGTGGTATTGGTCGTGATAGAGGTACTGTATTGGTTAGTAACTATGTTGGGTAGATGTATTTATGCCATGTATCACGGTGATAGAGGTACTGTATTAGTTATTACTAGTATGTTGTGTAGATGTATAACGGTG